AAAACTAAATGTCAACTGACACAAAACAAAATAAATACGTTGTAAAATGGCGCCGTAACAAAACAAAATTTTCAATTATTGTCAAAAAAAAACGGTTCACGTGATATATATATGACCAAAATATTTAATAAAAACAGTCACGTGAGAAATGTCAATGTCGTAAAATGTTAAAAAATCTTATATTAATAAAAATATCTGTTGTTCAATTATTTTATTTCGCTATTGCCAAATGTCAATTTTAGAAAATATTTTCCATAGTCACGTGACAAATGTCAATGTCGCAAAATAGGTATACTCATGTAAAGAAAGTCTTATATTAAAAATAAAAAATACATAAAGTCAATTTCAGGTCGATAAAATTATCTTTTGTTTTAAAAAATATTCCATGTCAGTGTCTAAAAATCAAGTCAATATACTAAAAATTAAAAAGTTTAAAATCCAATGAAAATAGTCACGTGACAAATGTCAATGGACCAAAACAGTTGAAAGTAATAAAAATTTGAAATGACACTTGTACATAAAAGACACAAAAATAGTAGGTATCACCTGTCCGCCATTAAATGTCAAAAAAAAAAATACATAAAACTCCAAAAAAATAAAATGGCGCTAAAACAAAACAATAAAACTAGTAGGTAAGGACCATGTGACGTTAAATGTCAACTGAATAAAAACAATGCAAAATGGCGACGGAACAAACCAAAAATCTAAATTATTGTCAAAAAGAGAAACAGGTCACGTGACAAAATGTCAAAAACAAAATATAAACAAGTGTCCACCCCCCTCAAAGATGGCGCCTCACAAAACCACATGTTTGTGTAATGTATAAATTACAAACCCCTCAAAAAATCAACTCATCTAGTGTGACATTCATTTGTTTTGAAGCCGTCGCTAGCTGCGATTGTTTTTGGCCAATGATGCGTTTTTCATGAATGAAAGTGCGACCATGTGGCCTTCCCGACGTAAACAAACCATCCCCACCCCCTCAAGATGGCTTCCCCTCGTGGTGTACCTTTGCGTTGCGGCTTGGCTTGCTTGCGTCGTCCCCTAGGTCCCCCTGGAGCTCCCACCTCGGCGGCCATCGTCGGCGCACCATCAAGAGGCACTGCAGCGGCGTCGGCGGCGTCGTCGTCGGCGTCGTGGTTGTCGCACTCGCGTCGCTCGTTTACCGTCGGTAACACAACACATACACCCCCGGCAGCGGCACGACACGCTCTAGAGATGTGCCGCGGCCCGCGGCAATGTCTCGCTCGCCTCTTCGCCATTGGTCACAAACGACGCACGCCGATTGGACGATACCTGAAAGGTCGACTCCTACCTGGACGACCACCCACGGCGAAGGTGCGTCCGATGGAGGAAAATGACGATTTAGAGTGAGGTGGTTCGAAATGGGCGCGAGGGGATTGGATGAGTGGGGGCTAGAGGGCGGCACCTATCTGCCCAACAAACCGGCAATACAGGACACTGTAAAAATGGCTATATCACGTGACAAATGTCACTATTATTAGTATAGTAAGCCAAGTAATATAATAGTTAAAATATGTTATACACCTCGCTAATATAAAGAGAAATTTGAGCAAATTTTTAATTAAAACATAAAAAATGGCAGAAAAACAAAGTAAAAAAAAAGTAAAATAGTAAAAAAAAATGTTATTTAACTTGTCACTAAAAAAAAGTTAATTATGAGGTCGAAGAACAAGACGAGAGGGCAGCACGTGACAGCTGAACGATTTGGTAATACAGAAAACTGTAATCTCACTTAAAAAATATCTTAGTTTTTCAATTTAAGCTAATTTTGATCTTGAAAACATTAAAACTATTATTTAAAAGTCTAATGAACATATCACGTGACAAATATCACTATAGTGAGCCAAATAATAGTAAAAATATGCTATTTACCTCGTTAATAAAAAATAAAAACATTTATATATACATAGGATGTTTATTTAAAAAAAAAATGTTTTTTTTTTGAAACCACAAAAACAAATATGAAGAAAAATTTGGGTAAATTTAAAAACAAAACAAAAAAATATGTGTATAATGTGTGACGTGACAAATGTCACTTTTTTTTAAATATAACTTAAAGTAGCAAAAATATGCTATTCAACTCATACTAAAACTGAAATCATATACGTTGATAGGAAGTAAGTATTATAGCCAAAAAATTTGAAAATACCACGTGACAAATGTCACTTAACGAAATATATCTGACAATTCAGCCGAAAAGTTGCAAAAATATATCATTCAACTCGAGAAACAAAATAATAAAAATTTATAGACAGACACCAAGGCGGAAGCGAGAGGGCGGCACCTATCTGCCCAACAAACCGGTAATACAGGACACTGTAATCCAACTCCATAAATGAAATATCAAAAAATAACGATATCACGTGACAAATGTCACTATTATTAAAAAATCATAGTTTCTTTAACTAAAAAACAAATAAGAAGAGCGATTTGGGCAAATTTTTAATTAAAACCTAAAAAATGGCATAAAAACAAAAATGTTTATGTCACGTGACAAACGTCACATTAGAAAGGTAGAATAGTAAAAAAAGTGTTATTAAACTTGTCACTAAAAAAATAAAAAAAAGTTTATTATGAGGTCGAGGAACGAGGCGAGAGGGCAACACGTGACAGCTGAACGATTTGGTAATATAGAAAACTGTAAACTCACTTAAAAAATATTTTAGTTTTTAAAGATTTACTATTAACTAATTGAAAAAATTAAAACTATTATTAAAAAAACTTATGAACATATCACGTGACAATACCCCTATTAATATTAATAGTATAGTGAGTCAAATGATAATAAAAATATGCTATTTACCGCGTCACTAAAAAATGAAGAACACTTAGGTATACGTAGAATGTTTATTTAAAAAAAAATTGTTTTTTCAACCTAAAAACAAATACTAAGAAAAAACTAAGAAAAAAATTTGAGCAAATACAATAGTAAAAATATGTTATATACTTCGCTAAAATAAAAAAATCATAGTTTTTTTAACTAAAAAACACATAAGAAGAGCAATTTGAGCAAAATTTTAATTAAAACCTAAAAAATGTCATAAAAACAAAAATATCTGAAGATGTTTTTTCAACCTAAAAACAAATACTAAGAAAAAAAATTTAGCAGATTTTAGTAAAAAAGTAGCAAAAACATGCTATTCAACTAGTAATAACAAAATAATACAAACATGTTATGTAAAGATAGGTACTAAGGCAGAGGCGAGAGGGCGGCACCAGCCTGCTCAACAAATTGGTATTGCAGGAAACTGTAATCCAATTCAAGACCAAAAAATAGCAATATCACGTGACAAGTATCACTATTAATAAGTAAGTTAAACAACTTATGTGTTTTTTCTTTTTTGTACAATTTTTTTGGGACAAGGTTTATAATAAGACTCTTTATGTCTTACAAATAATATATTGAAAGTTTAATTACAAAATAAATAACAAAAAATCGTGAAATTTCACTTATCTAATCTACAAATCGGACTCCTTTGCACCATCTCCAAATCGACTTTGGGCCCCACCAAATCCCTGATATTATTCAACCCATACTTAATCATGGTCGGCCGTTCCAACGACAGCCCCCACGCAATCACCCTCACATTCTCCGGCAGCCCCATCGTGAGCAACATCTCCGGCCTAAACATCCCCGAATTCCCGATCTCAATCCACTTTCCCAGCCCATTATGAAAACAGAAAATCTCCATACTAGGCTCCGTATACGGATTATACGCCGGCTTGAATTCCAGTTCCGTAATCCCCAATTTTTTGAAAAACTCAGCAAAAACACCGATCAAGTCACCCAGAGTGACGTCATAATCGGCGATAACCCCCTCCACTTGGTTAAATTCGGCCAGATGTGTAGCGTCGAGAGTCTCATTACGGAATACTTTATCAATACTGAAGAGTTTAGTCGGTTTAAAATTCTCTTCTTGGGCCAATTTGTACAACATGCGGGCGCTATTAGCCGTCGTGTGGGTCCGGAGAAGGTTTTTTTGGGCCTCTTCGATTTTCCAATCGTAACGGTACCTGTAACACAAAAAAAAAATCATGAGCTTACCTTGACACTAACCCCTTGGCCTTGCATTTATTATGTCCAGAGTTGTACAACTCGGAGGATTTTTAACCCCAAATTGGGACAATTAACAGGGTCAAAGCCCCGTGTTGTATTTTAATCAATTTTGGGTTTTTTTTTTCACCAAAAAAACGTTTGAGGTTATGTCACTTGGAGTCACACTTTAGAGCTTTTTGCCGCCTAATTGTGTCTAAAACCGAGCAAAATACTCAGTTTGTGTTTCACTACGTGTGAATAAAGCAATTGGGACACAAAAATACGAATTGTGGGCAAATTTCGCATGAAACACCAAAAAAAAAAA